AAAAGAAATACAAGAACACTGTGGTTAAGCAATTTAATGAACATTTTTTTAGAAAACAAAATTAAGTAGATGTTAGTAATGCTTTTACTATGAAAATAATAGTGTAGTATGTAGGATAGAAGATTGATAATCAGCTAGTAGAAACAATAAAGTAGTGTAAGCATTGATGATTAATAGAAACATATTACTAAGAAGATGTAATCAAGGGTCTGATAAGTGGAAATGATTTGTGTAAGGCTTAATTTGATCTTTTAGTGGGAATAAGAAGAAGCAATTTATCACTTATGTAGGAGAGGAGATGATGTCAAAAAGAAAGTGTTCAGTGGTTGAAAAATGAACAAGATATGGAAAGGTCAGTTTGGACATCACAGAAATACTTTTGTTAAGGTTGTATAATCACAGAGTAAAAGGAATGTTGTGATTGAAGCTGTATAATAATTTATAGAAAAATCAAAGTATCAAATCATTATGTACTGTGTAATTTTGAGAGAGAGAGAGAGAGAGAGAGAGAGAGAGAGAGAGAGAGCCCCTTCAGCCAACTAAACAGAGGCTCTTGATTGCTTTCATTTTCGCCGACTCCTCTCGTGTCCCTCGACCCTGCAAGAGCTGGACTCCTGCAGTAAGAGATGAAGTTTGGCCATCCTGGCTTCCAAACAGCATTCTGGCTGTACATCTTCCAACACAGATCTGTTTGTTCTTTTGACAATCCATGGCACTTTTAATATTCTCCTCCAACACCATAACTCAAAATGCATCAATTCTTCTATGGTCTTCCTTATTCACAATCCGACTTTTGCATGCATATGAGTTTACTGAAAATATCATGGCTTGGGTCAGGTGCACCTTAGTCCTCAAATGTACATCTTTACTCTTCAATTCTTTAAAAAGGCCTTGTGCAGATTTGCCTAATGCAATACATCGTTTGATTTCTTGACTGCTGCTCCCATGAGTGTTGATGGTTGAACTCAGCAAAATGAAGTTTTTGACTTCAATCTTTTCTCCATTTGTTGTTGTTGAGTGCCGCAGAGTCAGTTCCGATCCACAGTGACCCTGTATAGGGTTTCAAAGGAGCGGCTGGTGAGCTTGAACCGCTGACCTTGCAGTTCAAATCAACCTTGCAGTCCAGCGCATTAATCCACAGCGCCACACCAGGACTCTGTTCTCCATTTCTATGGATGTTATTTATTGGTCCAGTATGCACAACAGTGAGGATTTATGTGCTCTTTACATTGAGATGCAACCCATACTGTGGTCTTTAATCTTCATCAGTATTTAAAGTCCTCTTTGCTTTCAGCAAGCAAGGTTGTATCATCTGTATATCGCAGGCTGTTAATGAGTCTTCTTCTAATCCTGATGCCACGTTCTTCTTCATATAATCCAGCTTCTTGGATAATTTGCTCAGCATACAGGTTGAATAAGTATGGTGAAAGAATACAACTCTGGCACACAGCTTTCCTAATTTTAAACCATTCGCTGTTCCCGTGTTCCGTTCCAACTGCCTCTTGGTCTTTGTTCAGGTTCCTCATGAACACAATTAAGTGTTCCGGAATACTCATTCTTCACAGTGTTGTCCACAGCTTGTCATGATCTACACAAATCAACGTCTTTGCATAGTCAATATATCACAGGTAAACATCTTTCTGGTAAAGATCCATCTGATGTCGGCAATGATATCCCTTGTTCCATGTTCTCTTCTGAATCTGGCTTGAACCTCTGGAAGTTCTCTGCTAATGTATGGTTGAAGCTGTTTCTGTATTATCTTTAGTAAAAATTTACTCACATGGGAAATCAACAAAATTGTCCAATGATTTCCACTTTCCGTTGGGTCACCTCTCTTTGGAATAGGCACAAATATGAATCTCTTCCAGTCAGCTGGCCAGGTAGTTGTCTTTCAGATTTCTTGGCATACATGAGTGAGTGCCTCCAGTGCCAAAGCTGTTTGTTGAAAAATTTCAATTTGCATTGCATCTAATCCCGGTGCTTTGTTCTTTGCCAATAGCTTCAATGCACCTTGGACTTCTTCCTTCAGTATCATTGACTCTTGACCATCGATTACCTCTTGAAATGGATGAACATTGTCCATTGCTTTTTGGTACAATGACTCTGTGTATTTCTTCCATCTTCTTTAGATTTTTTCTGTATCATTCAATATTTTGCCCATAGAATCCTTCAATATCACAAGTCGAGGCTTGAATTTTTTCTTCAGTTCCCTCAGCTTGAGAAATGCTGACAGTGTTCTTCCCTTTTGGTTTTCTAACTCTAGGGCATTGCACATTTTGTTATAATATTTTACTTTGTCTTCTCAAGCTGACTTCTGAAATTTTCTGTTAAGCTCTTGTACCTCCTCACTTCTTCCATTTGCTTTAGCATATCTATGCTGGAGAGTAAGTTTCAGAGTCTCTTCTGATATTCATTTTTGTCTTATCCTTCTTTCTTGTCTTCTTAATGACCTTTTGTTTTCTTCCTGTACAATGTTCTTGATGTCATCCCACAACTCTTCTGGTCTTTGGTCTTTAGTGTCGAATGTATCAAATATGCTCTTGAGATGATCTCGTAAATTCAGGTGGGATATACTCAAGGTCATATTTTAGCTCTCATGCACTTTGTTTTAATTTTCTTCAGTTTTGGCTTTAACTTAACATATGAGTAACTGATGGTCTGTTCCACAGTCTGCCCCTGGCTTTGTTTTGACTTACTTGAGATATAATCAATTTATTCCACCTGGTGAGGTTCATGTGTATAGTTGTCTTTTATGTTGTAAAAAGGTATTTGCAAAGAAAAAGTCATTGGTCTTACAAAATTCTATCATGTGATCTTTAGCATTGTTTCTGTAGCCAAGACCCTATTTTCCAACTACTGATCTTTTTTCTTTGTTTTCAACTTTTTCATTCCAATTGCCAATAATTATTAATACATCTTGAATGCATGTTTGATTAATTTCAGACTGAAGAAATTGGTAGAATTCTTCAATTTCATCATCACTGGCTTTCTTAATTGGTATGTAAGTTTGAATAATAGTGGTATAAACTGGTCTTCCTTGTAGACAAATGGATATTATTGTATCACAGACAGCACTGTAATTCAAGACAGATCTTGATATATTCTTTTACTTCTTGGTAAAAATGAAACACACCAAATTACAGAGCAAATTCACTGAAACAACAAATGAAGTTCTGTCTTTGTCCTTTTTTTTTTTAACCCCCTAAAAAGTACTTTACTTCTGATGTATAGCACAATTGTTTAAGAAAATAAAATGTAGAGTTTAGCAATTGGGCATCCTAACTACCATAAGAGGTACTGTACTCATCCTCATTGACGACCACTGAGGTAAAAAAAAAAAAAAAGTCAGCAGCAGAGAAACCACGTCTTATTTGTCTATATAAGGAGTTGTTTCCTTATTGAAGCCACAGATGGAGATCATAGATCACTTCTACGTTCTTCTCACCATATTTCAAGCCATCACAGTGCTTCCTCAGTGAGTCATTCTTCAGATTCATAGGGCTAACAACGGAATCCAGCTCACTGATAAAGGTGGAGATGTGAAGGGGTTGGGAGTAGTCTGTAGCAGTCACTATTGATAGACAACCTTGAGAGTTCATTAGCAAGAATTTGAACTCCTGAGAGACAATCCACATTCAGATGAAATCCTTTCTCCTGATCTGGCTCAATGCCAAGAATTTCTGTTAAAGTTCTTCTGTCACTAGTGTTTCTGATTCCAAATATACAACAAATGCTGCCAAGAAACCAAGCACTGCAACACAAACCTCTAGTGGCCATGAAATCTGTAATACTGTTCAGAAGGGAACTTGGTCCTCAAAGATGTGAGATGTGTTTTTACTGTGTCAAAATGCTCTCGAGCTTTGAAACACCTCTTTGGAATGTTCTGAAATCTAGAACCCGGATAGACCCATTGAAGTAGAGTTAAAATCTTTTGAGCTGTTTGCTGTAAACTCTGTACACCCTTTCAAATTTCCACTTAGATGTCCTACTCTGCAGTCAAGGAGCCTTGAAGCTCCATAAAGATCTTGCTCACAGACATGGCACTGGTGGCTCAATAGTCAGCCAGTGCAAGGAAGACATCCAGAGGAACAAGTCAGGTCACAACAAATGGAGTCAGTTGTTGCATCACCACTGCAGTCCCCAAAATAATCTTTTAAAAACAAAAACCTGACCAAGTCTGTCTCCTTGCTGTTTACATTCTTTAGTGTTTTCCTATGCTCTTAAGGTAAAGCCCAAAATGTTTAATATGGCTTAGAAGAACGTAAGTTCCATGACAGTGGGGGGGCTTTGCTTTGTTCAATACCTTGAACAGTGTCTGGTATGTAAGATGTTCTTAAGAATACAGGACTCTTCACAGAATTGCCCCTGCCTACCTCTCTTGCCTTATTACATACCACTCTTCCCTTTGCTTTCTCTTCTCCAGCATAAAGAAGCATATATATATATTTCTCACTTCTTCAAATATGCTCCTTTCTATCTCAAGGCCTTTGAATATGCAGTTCCCTCCACCTAAAATAGTCGTTTCCCAACTTTTTTGACAAGTTAATGTGTCCTCGTGGTTCTTTCAACTTTAACATTATTTCCTTTGGAAGATCTTTCCTGAGCCTCATCTTGGTCAAGCTCCTTGTTTTATGTTCTCCTATGACACCCATTTGTAACACCCTCATATCTGCAATTACTTGGTCAATGTCTGTCTTTCCCGATAAACCCAAGTCTCATGAAAACAGGTTTAGGATTTGTTTTATTCACAGACTCTTTTTTACTTAGCAGAATGCCTGGAATAAGCAGGCACTCAGGAAGTAAGTTTTATGAATGAATGCATACGAATGCATAATTGAATGAAAATATCAGTAGGATGATAAGGAGTGCAAAAGAAATATGTGGTCACATTTATATTAGTGCCCACTTATCCTAGAAGAAGGGAGGACTAGGACTCATTATATGTCATGTAATATAATGGTGAAGAAGATAAAAAAGGGAAACTGTTCAATCTAGATTACCTGCAAGGTATCAGTTGGTGCATCATCCTCATTTTCTTTGGAAGTTCTGTTTAAAAATAAATAAAGTTGTTTTACTTTTGGCAAGATCCACAGTATTTTGTTCAATGATAAAAATTTTCATTTACAATTCTGACATCCCATAAATTTACGTCCTTTAACTTATTAAAAATAATACTGTTATAGACAGGGCATAGAGATCAAAGTTTATTTGTGGTTATGATGAACAGATTGGAGGAAGGTGGGAAGGAGAATTCACTGCTTGGAAGACAATGGATTTCTGCTAAGGGTGATGGGAAATGTGAGAATGGATATAAGGGTGATTGATGCTTGAAAACATAATGAACGTAATTAATGCCACGATCTGTATGTGTGAGAAATGTTGAAATGGCAAATGTTCTATTACATACATATTTACCACACACACCAAAAGAAAATGTGCTATGGACACACATATATGCAACACTGTTATCAAAGTAAAAATAAAGTCTTTAAAATTGAACAGTAAGGGCTATAATTTAATATAAAACATACTTTTTTATAAAAATAAAAATGTATTTCAAATTTCTGCTAATTTTAAAATTATTTTTAAAAAATACCTCTATCACTTTTTCACCATAAATGTAGTACACGCTTGTCACATAGACTGTGTCTCAAAAAAATATGTGTTACCTTGGCTGTGTCATGATCCTCAGTAATTTGACAGTTATGCAATGATGTAGCCATCTCCCCTGATGTGCTCAGATGATCAGCCAATTAGTTGTAAGGGGATTAGGGTAACATGCAATACCCTTACTCAAGCCATAGCACTGACCTGATGGTGTAACACACTTACTCAAGTCACGGTCTGGGTCTAATTTAAGGGAAGTTTTTCTAGGTGTGGCCTGTATCATCTTTTATCTTAAAATGAGACAGAAGCAAACAGAGGAGTAAAGACCTCATTACTATCAAGTAAGAAGAGACAGAAAAGGAGCTCTGGTAGCATAGTGGTTACGAATCGGGTTGCTAATCTCACAGTCAGCAGTTCGAAACTACTAGCTGTTCCATGGGAGAAAGATGAGGCTTTCTGCTCATTTTTACAGATTTACAGCCTCGGAAACCCTGTACAGGGTCACTGGAGTGACCGACTCCATGATACTTAACAACAACAACAAGAGACAAGAGCAGAATGCATCCTTTAGACGTGGGAGCCCTGCACTGAGAAGTTACTAGACCCAGAAGAAGATGGATGCCAATGTACATGGAGATCTCCAACGGATGCTAAGCCTACAGATGCTGAAAGGAGACAATGATTTTTCACTTAGATCCAAGAGAGAGAAAGCTTTTTCAGAGGGCTGCTGTCTTGAATTTGAACTTCTAGTCTCTTAAACTGTAAGAGAGTAAGTACATTTCTGTTTGTTAAAGCCATCCACTTGTAGCATTTCTGTTATAGAAGCTCTAGATAATTAAGACCCAAAACCCCAATGCTAGTGAGTCAATTTTGACTCATAACAACCCTATATAGTGTTTCCAAGGAGCTTTTTATGGGTACAGAAAGTCTCATCTTTCTCCTTCAAAGTGGCTGGTGGTGATGACTAGAGCTCAAACAGAAGAAGAAAGAAGAGGGAAAAAAGAATAATCTGACACAATTTGATGAACTTGACATACACCCATGGAAGCAATAGCTCAAAAGAGTGAACAAATCTTCACAGAAAGGATCATTCCCATCTCCACTGCACACAGAGAGGACAGGGATGGGCAACTTGGACATTGGCTACCCAGAATGGGGGGGCTACAGAGAGGCAAGAAGTGACTGGCTTACAAGCTTTCAAGAGGGAACCTAGATTCAGAGAGTGTGGAGCAAGGTAGAATCTCCACTGAGTAGTATCCATTGTGCCTAGTCAGGGCTGATAAAAAGAGATGCAGATAGGTCCCTTGCGATACAATAGTGAATAATTGTTATCAGGACTGATTATAAGGGCTGGAAATGTAAAGGTGGACGTTTTGGGGCAAGGGGAGGGGAGTGATTAACCTTACAGTCTAGGAATGGAGGTCCCTGGGACCATCAAAGGAGAAGAGCAGAGAATGGAACCCTACCCAGATAAGCAGTGATGCCAGGGATGGAGGCAGAGACAATGATGTGGGGAGATGGAGTAGATGGAGACTTTGGACCTGGAGAGAGAGAGGGGCGGTATGCGGATGACAGGGGGGCAGGCTTGCGGGGTATACTCTTTGGTTGATCGATGATGCATGGAAGGGATTGTTACCATGGCAAGGAAATGATATATGACGGGATCAACGTGAAGCTGATATCCTCCCATGTAAACTATCACATAATTCACAATAAAGCATTAAAAAAACCACGCAAAACAAAAAACCCAAAGTGGCTAGTGGCTCTGAATTGCCAACCTTAGAGTTAGTAGTCCAGTGCTTATCATACAGCACCACCAATGTTCCTTAGATAACTAAGGCAATATTTCAACAAACAAAAATAAACAAGGTAGACCATAGCTCCCCTCCTCTAACATTACACCAGTACACAGCGGCATACTGTACTGTCCTCTAAAATGGTTGTGACAATTTATACTATCACCCATTGTTGTATCTGAGTGATCATTTCTCCAATGGTCCTTATCAATCTTTTGGATCTCTGTCAAACTAAAATTTTAGAAAAGATAATGCATTTCATTTTGTATTTCTCTGATCATTAGTGATGGAGACAACCTTTTTATACATTTAATGGTATTTCTAATCCTTTTTCTGTGAATGGCCTATTCACATTATTTGTTAATATTTTTCTTATTGCAAAATATAGTATACATATAAAACTATATATGCAGAGTTTAAAGAATAGTACTAAAGTGAACTATGAGCCCTAAAACCATAGACTGAGTTTAAGCAACAGAAATGAGTAATTCCTTTGGGGCCCCTGTGTCTCTCTCTTCAAATGCATATACCTCCTCTCCCAGCCCTTGAGAGGAAACAAACCTCTTTACTAAATTTTATGTTAATTCCTCCCTTGCTGTTGGTTTTAAAAATAGCTTTTCTGCATTTGTATAAATACCCAAGTGAAGTAGTATTTGACATTCCCTTAAAACAACAACAACAAAAACACCCTCATATACAAATATCCAAAAATGGTGTGGGGGCCAAGTCTGACCTCCTTTGGCTTCACTAGTGGAAGGAGGCAAGTCACCATCATCAGCTCAAGTCAGCCTGCACCCTCCAACCTTCTTTACTTTATTTGGTACCAACCAGCTCTGGTAGCATAATGGTTACAAATTGGGCTGCTAATCTCATGGTCAGCGGTTCGAAACTACCAGTTGTTCTGCGGGAGAAAGATGAGGCTTTCTGCTTCTGTAAAGATTTATAGCCTCGGAAACCTTGTACAGGGTCACTATGAGTTGGAACCAACTCCATGGCACACAACAACAACATCCCTCTCATAGCACTCTACTCGGCTGGGTTTGATATTTTATTGGCCACACAGAACTCACAGGCAATAGTCACGATTATGGGGTTTACTAGGGGAATTAAGTGCCAGTGCGTTGGTTCCAACTTATAGCAACTTTGTATAGGGTTTCCACAGAGCAACTGATAAGGTTTTAACCACTGACCTTGTGGTTCAAACCGAGTTTGAGGTCACATGCTTAGGACTAGAAGCGACCCAGGATAGAGCAGTTTTCCAGTGAGGGGCACCTCTTCTCAGCTGTACCACAGGCTTGTCTCTCTCTCTCTGGTCCTCAGTCTTCCAGCCAGGTGTTCCTTTGGCATCTGCCCTGCTCTGGCAAATGTCACAAGCTTTTAGCTCTGTGGATAAATACCCAAAGGGCATGCTATTTTTGCAAGCCAAAAGATCCTTGATTGGCAATTTTTTTTCTTTCAGAGTTTTATATGTCATCCCATTGTCTTCTTGCCTCCTGCCCCCAAACACAGCCTCTGCGTGCTGCTGCTTCTGCCTCTCCACGCAAGTCTCGAGATCCAAAAGGCACACTCTGCTTGTGTCTCTTCTTTCTTGGTGGTTAGGACGGTCTGTTCCTGCTTTTCAGATGGCTCATTAGAAGTCCAGTGGAATGGTAAACCCAACCAATCCCCAAGTTAGAGTCCTGTACACCCTATTTGTAAGGTTTCACCCAAATATTAGAGTCCTGGTATAGTACTGTAGGATAAGCACTGGATCACAGAGTCGGTTTGAACTGCAAGGTTGACAGTTCAAACTCACCAGCTGCTCTTTGGAAACCATAGACAGAGTCACTATGAGTTGGAACTAACTCGAGGGCACTTAACAACAACACCCAAGTATTTGTGAGAATTATGAAGGCTATGAAAAGAAGAGCCATGCCAAGTATAATCACTGTCATACAAAATAGAATTATACTTTCTTTTTTTGTGTTTCTTTTACTTACTTATTTTAAAGGGCAGCAGTAAGGCGTTAGGGTTAAGATTATGGCTAGGTTTAGGACTTCATTTAGTATTAGGGTTATGGCTAAGACTAGGGTTAATGTTAGGTATAAGGGTTGGGCTAGGGCTAGGAGTAAGTTTGATCTAGTTTCAGAGTTACATTTAGTAGGTTTATTTTTATGTATTTCCTAAAATCTACTGGATTTCTTCCTCATGTGGAAGTTCTGTAACTACATTATTCCCTCTTTTTCCTTTGTTTTTGTTGTTGTTACAAACTAGTAATTCTGGTTTCCTATTTTCAATCATGTAGGTCTGTTTTGCTTTTAATACTTCTATATCTGAGTTGAGTTCTGGGTGATATTGTCAAATATGTTAGTTTCAGGGTTTTTTCTGCTGTTGCTGGTTCTCTGCCCAAAGAACTAAGGCCCTTTAGTATTTTTTGAAAATTTGTCTGGCTTACATAAATTCTTTTAATATGTTTATCTGGAAATATTCTAATTTCACCATATTTAATGGACTATTTGCTGGGTAAATGATTCTTGGAGTCCTGGTGTGGTGCTATAGGATAAGCACTAGACTCCTAACCACAAGGTTGGTGGCTCAAACCCACCAGTCATTCCTTGGAAACCCTGTATAGAGTTGGATCGACAACAACAACAAAAGATTTTTGGTTGGCAATTTTTTTCTTTCAGAGTTTTATATGTCATCCCATTGTCTTCTTGCCTGCAAGATTAATGCCAAGAAATCAGAGTTTACTCTTATTCATTCTTCTTTGTAGGTAACTTTTAATTTTTCCTCAGTTGTTGTCAGTATTCTTTCCCAGCCTTTGATTTTAAAAAGTTTGATTATAATATGTCTTGGTGATTTTCTTTGGGGGTTCTGTCCTGTTTGGGAAGTATTGGTGTGGCGATGTGGGTTAATGCACTGGACTGCAAAGTTGCTTTGAACTGCAAGGTTGGTGGTTCAAGCTCACCAGCTGCTCCTTGGAAACCCTATACAGGTCACTATGGGTCAGAACCAACTCAATGGCACTTAACATAACAACAACATCCTCTTTGGAGTTTGTTCGACTTCTTGAATGGCTATCATCTTATCTTTCATTATGTTAGGAAAGTTTTCTTCCAGCAACTCTTGACAATTTTTTCTATAGTTAAAAAAAATTATTATTATTTTTTTGGTCTTTTTCTGTTCTAGATTTCTAATCACATGTAAGTGATTTTTCTTGATAGTAGTAGTACTTAGGTGCCATCGAGTCAGTGCTGACTAATAACGACCCTACGCACAACAGAATGAAACACTGCTGGGTCCTGGGACAACCTCACAAGCTTTGCTAGGCCTGAGCCCATCGCTGATGCCACTGGGCCAATCTATCTCATTGTGGGGGGTGGTCTTCCTCTTTTTCTCCAACTCTCCACTTTACCAAACATGATACCGTTCTCCAGTGACTGGTTCCTCCTGATAATAAGTCTGAAGTATATGAGGTGAAGTTTGGCCATCCTAGCTTCCAAAGAGTACTCTAGTTGTACTTCTTCCAACACAGATCTGTTTTTTTGTTTAGTGACCCCTCCACATCAGATTTGATCCCCAAAATTCTTAGACAACTTTGTTCACATGATATTTTAAGGAGGTAAAGTGAAATTCTAGGATATTTTAGTTACAATAACATTTGTCAACAGTATTTTGGGGGAGGGGTGTGGAAACTAGAGGACTCTATTAATCAAACACACAGATATGTTAAGAATATCACATTCACAAAAGCTCAGGAACCACTACTTGTCATCAAACCTGCATTCACCTGCATAGGCTACAAATGAAATCTCAGAACAATACTTCAGCAAAGAAAGCAAACCAAGTTTCTGTGGTGAATATGATTAAACCAGACTGGTGATCTTATGTTCCTCATGTATCCAGTGATGTGCACAAATACCTTTGTTTGGGAGGAATCTGTAAATGTTCAAAGTATAACTGGCCCATGGAATTTATGCTTAAAACAACATCTTCTTTAGACACCAAGTCTATCTTGAATGGGTCTGCAGTGATATGAAGCTTCAGATCTCCTTTTTCATCTGCCAACACCAGACTGTCTGCATCCCCTGAGCATGAAAACAACCTAAAAAACAAAGCAGAAAGACAAGAGAAAAACAAATGGCTACAGATGACCTACTTCTGTAACTCTGTATCCACTGAAAACCTAATGGAGTGATGGTCTGCTGTAACACACGTGTGGTTGCCGTGAGTCAAAATCAACTTAATGGCAAACAGGTGTGTTCGTTTTTGGTTACAGGTTTACATGGCTCAATGAAATCCTCAATTCAAAGTAACTGTTGTTGTTCTTGATGAACTGTTTGACAGTGAATGTGATACCATTCCTCTTCAGTTTGTTGTTGTTGTTAAGTGCCATCGGGTTGGTTCTGACTCATAGCGACCCTGAACAGGGTTTCTGAGGCTGTAAATCTTTACGGGAGCAGAAAGCCTCATCTTTCTCCTGTGGAGAAGCTGGTAGTTTTGAACTGCTGACCTTGTGTTTCACAGCCCAATTCTTAACCACTACACTACCAGAGCTCCTTCAATTTGTTGTTACTGGCATACAAATTGTTGTTGCTAAGGAGTCCTGGTATGGTGCTGCAGGATAATGCACTGGACCACAGGGTCAGTTTGAATTGCAAGGTTGGCAGTTGAAATCCACCAGCTGCTCCTTGGAAACCCTATACAGAGTCACTATGAATCGGAATTGACTGGATGGCACTTAACAACAACAACAGGTGCTGTAGAATCAGTTCCTGCTCATATAGCTACCCTACGTACAAAAGAATGTACTACTGCTTGGTTCTGTGCCATTTTCACAATTGTTGTCAGGTTTGAGCCCATTGTTGCAGTCACTGTGCCAATCTATGTCCTTGAGGGTCTTGCTCTTTTTTACCAAACATGATGTGCTTCTCCAGGGACTCGTCTCTCTATTAACATGTCCAAAGTATATAAGATGAAGTCTCACTACCCTCCCTTCCGGAGAACATACTGACTGTATTTCTTCCAAGATAACTTTGTTTATTCTTCTGGCAATTTATGGTATAGTCAATGTTCTTCACCAACACCATAATTCAAAGATAGCAAATTTTCTTTGTTCTTCATTATTCACTGTCCAGCTTTAACATGCATATGAGGTGATTAAAAATATCATCGCTACATCAGGTGCACCTTAGTCCTCAAGGTGGTAGCTTTGCTTTTTAACACTTTTAAGATGTCTTTTGCAGCAGATTTTCCCAAAGCAATATGTGGTTTGGTTTCTTGACTGCTCTTTCATGGGCAATGATTGTGGATCTGAGTACAATGGACCCCTTGACAACTGCAAATACCCTGAGTGACCCACTGGTATTTAAAATACTAGTGGCATAGCTACTATACAGCATCACAGCAACATACAAGCCACCATGGTACAACAAACTGACAGCTGAACTAACTAGTGGAGTAACCAATATTTATGTGACATAGCATATATCAGGAAATAGAGAGTCATTGCCAAGAACATGGGCTTTGTTATCAGAGTCTGAACAGAACACAGCAACACACGAGGTGCAACACATGAGGTGTATAACTGTACATATTAATCAACCTCTCTGAGTCTTAGGATAATAAAATTCACTGACATTGAATTGATTCCAAGTCATAGTGACTTTTTTTTTTTTTTTTACTTTTTATTGTGAATCAAGTGAAGGTTTACAGAACAGATCATCAGTCCCTTACTTAACAAATCATACACTTGGTGTCATTACAATGACTGCAATCCCCTCCTTGTACCATCAGTTCACAGTGTTTGCCTCTATTCACTTTAAACTTGGGCACTGAGTTTTATTTATTTTTAAAGTTTTTATTGTGAATTGAGTGAAAGTTTACAGGGTAGAGCATCAGTTTTACATTCAACAAACCATACAAGATTATAATCCCCTCTTTGTACCATCAGTTAATAGTATTTCTCTCTATTCATTTTAATTTTTGTTTTGTTTTAAGCAGTCAGGCATATATAATAATTTAAACGACCATTGGGCACATTCTGCAAGTCTGCTTCCTGGCTGCCAGCTCTCAGTCCCTCTCTTCCCATGAATCTAGAGTCCTCAGCAGCTCCTTCTCTCCCATAGTGACTTTATGTAGGGTTTCTGAGGCTGTAAATCTTTTTTGAAGAAGAAAGCCTCCTCTTTCTCTTGCAGAGTGCCTAGTGGATTTGAACTGCTGAACTTTTGGTTAAAACCCCAACACATAACCCACTACACCCCCAGGGTTCCTTAGGAATAATAAAAGAAACAACAAATGAAGTTTGTTGAGAGAATTAAATGAGACCACATAGTAAAGCACTTGGCACAGTGTTTGGCACATAATTATTGTTGTTGTTAAGTCCTGTTGAGTCGGTTCTGACCCATAGCGACCCTGTATAGAGATTTTGAGGAGCAGTTTGGTTAGCTTGAACCATTGACCTTGCAGTTCAAACCAACTTTGCAGTCTAGTACATTAACCCATGATTCTACACCAGGACTCCTAATTTTTGTTGTTGTTAAATGCTGTCGAGTAGATTCTGACCCATAGTCACCCTGTATAGGGTTTCCAAGGAGCATTTGGTGAGCTTGAACCACTGACCTTGTGGTTCAAACTGACTTTGCAGTCCAGCACATTAACCCATAGAGCTAC